CACACACACACACACACACACCACACGCCCCTCCCACAAATTGTATTTGATCTCCAAATGAACACAAGTTCAGAATAGCTAAAAACTATGCTAAGCACAAAGTTAAAGTCTGCTGTTTAGCAAAATGGAGAATATATTTGCAAACTATAGCACATAAGCTACTTTCCCTCATCTATAAAGAGCTCTGACAAACCAATAGACAGGTTAACAACCCAGTAAGAGGGAGGGATGAAAATACCAAAGATATGAATGGAGAGGAAAGAATAAGGGGCTGCCCACACTCGGTCTGGGTGACAGTGTGCGTACATTAACGCCGCACACCCACACATTTGCCTAAGGAATCAGCCGTCCCTGTGATTCCCAGAGAGGAAACGGAGAAGCCCCGGTGTGGATGGCCTCTCCTCTCAGAGGCCCATCTGTCACAGATGCACACCCTCAGACCCGACTAGGAAGATGGCCACTCACGGGGACACTGTGGCACAAGTCCTGAGCTCGGCATAAAAAAACAACAGCGGACAACAAGGACCCTGCAGACACAGTGGAAAGCTCCACAGGACAGAAAGGCCTTCTGAGGAGATGCGGGACCATTGCTGGGTTCAGCATCACCGGGAAAGAGGGTGGCAGAAAGACTGGTGGGTCCCCTGCAGGATCCTGTGTGGAAAGGGCCCAAGGCCTTCGGGAGAGGGGCCGGGCTGGGCTTGGAAGCTCCCCCCTCCCTCTCTTGGCTCTGTTAGCTTTGGAAGCAGTTGGGTGAATTCCTGTTTTGCCCAGTGGGCCGCCTCTCCGGAGTCTGGGCTATGAAAGAGCAGGTGGGGAAGAGGATTGAGACTTTTTCAGTCATCAAACACTGCCACACCAGGCCAGCAAAGTCAGCCCTGACCAAGAAGGGCCTGGCTGGCCTTGCCGAGGTCACACCCCGTCCCTGCCCAGCATCCCAGTTCTGTGGGTCTGGACAATGGGGGGTCTGGACGGGCTTGCAGGGTGTGTGTGGGGGGGCTCCTGAGTATTTACACGGCCAGCTCCTTGGCCCTGAATGCACAAGCATCCCAAGGATGCCTCGGAGTCACTGAACCCCCACTGCACCCAGGGTCAAGCCAACTTCTGAATCTCCTGCCATTCGACCTGTGGAGGCAGAGTCTGGGCAGGGCCAGCCCTGTGCATGCATGGGACCGACAGGAGACAGGACACCCCATCCCGAGGGCCTTCTGATTTCTGCCCTTTGGGGGGATGGGGAGAGAGGGTGCTTGTCTGGCAGCTGTGCCCGTCTGTGGGCTGGGGTGTGTGTCCTGCAGTCCTTCCGCAGGGTGGCCAGCCTCAGGGCCACGGGCCCAGGGGTGGCCAGAAGCCAGCCCAGATGGTCCCAAGGCCTGGCTCAGCACCCCTCAGACCCTGCGGGTTCCCCAGCAGCCCTCGCAGAACAGCAGTGAGGGGCCAGGATGCAGAGACAAGATCTGAGATCAGATGACCCCAGCTTGTCACTGCAGCCTCTTCAGCCTGGGCTCCTCCGCAAACAGGACCAGGCCATCTTGGTGGGGACGGAGGGTTCAGTGGGAAGGCCCCTGTACCGCCCATTGTTCTTCGCTACCCCCAAAGTGCTGGCTCTGTCGGTCCCATGGCAGGTGCAGAGTGGTATGTGCTGCCCAGCCCTGTGCTAGCACACATGGCTTGATGCCAGACTGCCAGGCCCCTACCCAGCCTGGGGTGGGGGCTCTCACTGGGGGGGGGGGCAGGAGGCCAGAGGGCTGACAAGTGTCAGATGGAGAGGACCAAGCTGGCAGCTCAGCATTGACCCTTAGCTTGCAGACATGGGCACGGAAGAGGCCCCTGGGCAGGACCTGGGCTGGGCTGGCAGGGGCCGGGGGTGGGGGGAGATCTGCAGCTGGTGACAAGAGAGGGGCAGGAGAGTCACTGAGGAGGAGGAAGGAGGGGAGAGGCCAGACCTTGGGGAGGAAGGAGGCCACAGAGGCAGCTGGAAGGCCCAGGGCAAGGTGTGTCTGCCTCCTCCTGCCCAGGGCAGGGGCTTGGGCTGTGCTGGAAGCCCAGGGAGAGGCCACGGGGAGGGCGGCAGTCCTGGTCTCCACAGCGGGCCAGGCTCACTGGTGCTCATGGACAGGAATCCAGCCTTGACCGGGGATGGGATCCGGCCCCCTCACCTCAGTGTGGCCAGTACTGGCCAGCTGGCTCCTTGGGTCACTCTTGCTCTAGGAGGGCAGTCTGGGTCA